CTGCGATTATCACGTCTGTTCTCTCTTTATAAAGGTAGGCTGCATGTACACCTTGTTCCCAATGGTGATCTTATCTCAGTGGTGTGCATAGCACTGTAAATGCAGTCTAATTGTTTATTTTTCATTTCGCAGCCTCTACTTCCCTACCATTCCCGTCTCACCTCGTACAATTTGACTGCTCAGCAGATAATTTCAGTCATACCACACTTTTTTCGTCAAGACTTGCTTGAGGCAAATATAAGTATGGTCCAACAACTTCTACGACTGACACGGCACGAGTAAGACTGCCTACAGTCCAACCAAAAAGGCTTCATCGTTGCAAGCTGGTGTCATGCCTGCCCTCCACACGTGTTAAAAGATCCTTCCCAACTATGTGATGATAGGTGAGCCTCTGGGCATCAGCATTTCTGCTCTGATATTTCAAATGTTGGATACTTTGATTTTTTTTCATTTTTCTTAGGGCACCCCTCACTTTTTCCTCAAATGGCTCAATGTAGAAGGTGTAGGGTCTTCGGTTGCTGTGGCTTGCATGAGCTCTTCAGAGGGATATGACGAAGAGTGATTCTGCATTTGGGAGCATAATTACTTCTAGCATGCTACTGCTGAGGAGTTTGCCACTGGCATTTGTAATTGCGCAGGAAACATTGAAGTAGGCTCCCCTGAGCTGACTGAAGTTTGCAAAATCATCCTTGATTTGACTTAGAGAGTTATCATTCCACTGCTGCAGCTTTTCCATCAGGCCCCCTCTGGTCATGCCAGATCTGAGTTTTGCATTGCCTTCTTAGGTCTTTGTAGTCCTCTATGGGCCCTTGTACCAGTTTTTACGTTCTTTATTTCAATTAAACACCACGTTTAATCACTACCGTATTTTCCCGCATATAGCCCGCATACACATATAACCCGCAAACGCATATACCCCGCAAAAATAGCGTTTTGTGTAAAACAAATTTCAGATTGCCCGCACCTCCATATACCCCGCATGCATTAATATCTTTAACGTCGTTACCACAGCTTAATTTCATCATATGAATACGAAGTTTACATTTGTAATACATTCCACTATCAATTGTAAACATTAAAATCATAAAGTGCACAAATAAAACTAACTAACCGGAAACGAGTGAAATAAGTAACAAAAGTAAATATCCAATAAATAAGTAACACATAACTGGTAGATTAGTACAGTTTTAGCACTGGTAGATTGCGCACTGCACAAACAATAGCGGCACTGCGGTGACGCCATTGCCTCCCCCCAGCTCTCCCGTCGCCGCCACAGACCTTGCTCTGCAGCCACCCCAACCCCCCACCTCTCTCTCCCCCCAGCGCTCCCGTCACTACCACAGATCTTGCTCTGCAACCACCCCAACCCCCCACCTCTCTCTCCCCCAATCTCTCCCGTCGCCGGTAAACAAAGTGCGCCCACTTCAAACATTGTCATTTCATTGTACAAACAATTCGAATCATTAAAAACGTGATTACACGTGCAATTTTAGTAAGTGGTTTATTCAGCAGTGCTTTAATCAAAGGTAAGTGTTGCATAGTGGATAGTCCTACCACGATTTTTTTACGAGTTATGACGTCACACGTGTAAAAAATGTTTGGGATAGCCCGCACCTCCATACACCTCGCAGGGTCTTGTTTTGTTTGTAAAAAGTGGTATACCCCGCGGGTTATATGCGGGAAAATACGGTAATCCATCCCTTCTGAATATTGCAATAGGTTCTTGGGCAGGTCTTGGCGGCGTTGTTTACATAATCTTGAAATTGGTCCCTATCTGTCAGTTCCTCATTAGACAGGAGCGTGTGTTACCACTACCCAGCTCCACATTACAACCATCCCCACCATAAGAATTATATCCAGTATGAGCTGGAGAAGATTTTGTTGAACTTCGAGCGTTTCACTAGGAAATAGGGTTTACATTCATCCACACAAAAAACAAAGCACCTGCCTGTGTATTCTGTCATCGCATTATCCCGTCCCTCCACTTCCCATGAGTGGTGGGGCAGTTTTGGACAGAACGGAACATTTTTCCATACCTCGAAAGAGTGCTTATGACCAGCTCCAGTTGAGCAGCAGAGGTCATGCTCCGAATCAGTTTAACATAATTATCTCAGCTGCATAACACACTGAAAACTGCATGGCCTGTCGCCCCACATAAATCTCTGGGTCTTCTCAGCCAGATATCCCCTCCCTTCTCTACATTTGAGAAATGTGGATCCCTTTTAAAGGAACATCTACACTGGTTTTGCATATTCAAGTTGTCTACGATCCACCATGGGTCTAACAAACTAGATTATGTGAGCAGCTTAGATCCTTGAAAGATCTGGACAAATTCCCATCAGTGAGATACTAAGGCAGGTGAGGCAGCACTGGCTGGGTCATGTAGCCAAAATGCCCAGTCACTGCGTAAACAAACAGCTTCTGTTTGTCCAGATATAAGGGGCTAAACGTTATAGGCAAGAGTTTGACTGCCGTGTAACGGAAGGATGTGGAGCTGCTTGGGCTTGCCAACAGCTCGTACCAGTGGTGTCAAGATCAGCCTCTCTGGAGGAGTAACGGAGGGCGGAGGAGTGATGCTCACAATAACGAGCGTAGTGCAGGACGAGTAAAATACAGCAAGTTGGAACAGTAGGGAGCACAGGTGGTAATTCTGCCAGTCATCCCTGTCACTCAACCCATGGCACCTTTATCTATCCTGTAACCTGCCCATGAGCCTTCGACAGTCCACATGACCTCAATGTGCACTTAGCCTGGCACAAGCACATTTTTGACGTCACCAATTTTTAGTGGTGAATGGCTGTTATTGTGTATGTATCCACCACTTTCACGTACCATACCAGCCTTCTTAGGTGCTCGCTAGCAGAACTAATCCCAATAATTTGTCAAAAACTTTTTGGGAGAATTTTCTCGTTTGTATCTGCGTATGTTTGTGTACATCGCCTATGTGTGTGTTAGTGGTGAGCCATGCTGCACAACAAACTCAGCCACAGTTATCAATAGCACATGATATCTATACTAGTTTTGGGTCCTCTAGGTTGAGTCTGCATTAAATTAGTGCCTGGTACAATAGGTAATCAGTATAACCTATGAGACAAACGTGGCCAGGTGTGGTACTGGCCATTTCTACCCCCATTTGCCGTGCCGGCCTTCAAAGGGGCTCAATAACAGCACTTGCCCCACCAGTCTGTGGAGCTCCATGGGGGATGTTTGTGCTGGAGCTCGTGCTGTAGGCGTAGAAGACGCTCGACTGTTGATCCTCTGTAGGGAACGCGCGTCTGCTGTGTGCAGCGTGGAGTTGCACGAGAGTGAAGCCAACAGAGGTGTTGCACCTTGGGCGTAAACATCAATGGATGTCCATTTGCCAGGTGTCCATTTTTTTCGTAATTCTCGTGGAGATGTGTGCTGTATGAGAGAGAAAGCGACTGAGCCCATGGCCTCCCCCCCTCCCCCCCATTAGAGTGTCTCCTCGTACTATTTGACTGCTCAGCAAATCATACGAACAAAACGTTATTGAATGTGAGGTGAGGATGAAGACAATAAACTAAACGCAAAACTCACTTCTAACGAAATGAGTTTTCAATCAAGTCTATTGCTCCAGTGGCTTCCTAATATCAGAAGAACGATCATTTCAGATGGCAGCAGAAGCGCATCTGAAAGCGCGCGATGCAAACAACTGCAGGCCACTGTATGCTCCCTGCTGCCAAAGAATACTATTTGATCAAGCCGTCTCCGCTCGTTACGCAATTATTTGCTAATTTAGCAAAAAATGGGTTTACGTTCAAATTGCTTGTTATGGGGCATTCTCGTAGAAAGAACGCTCATTAAGTCAGACCGGCCTGTATATGTACAGTATACATATTTAGTTTGCAGCGGTGCAATACACACAGCTCAATACACAACGAGTTAAATGTATGAATATCTCAAAGTAAGTAATGGGTCACTTGGGTTTACGAACATGATGTAAAAACTCGTTATAGTCTCATGCTCTGCGTGCTGTTGTAAATGCACGTGGTGCATGCTCACTGACCAGATGCTGTTATGGAGATGCTTTAATTTTTATGGATACTAATTTTAAATGTTAAACTAAGGATCTTTTCATTAATTTCTTATGTAAAACAAATATAGGGAGGCGTTCATCCAGCGGGAGAGACAATGGCTGCTGCTGATGATGTAACGTGCCGCTTATTTTGAAGGATTCCTAAGCGACAGTGTAGGTGGAGATTCAATGGCATAGGAAGATGGCTGCACAGACACCTGGACCACTGCTGTCCTGGATAAGGGATTTATTTAACATAATGAACATCACAGTAACATTGACGCTGCCTCATGTGTGTACTTTAAGTTTTGGCTTCGCCACACAAAAGATCCCGTTCACTGATATCCGTGAAGCGTATGTGACATCATACTACTGCTAGACAACCTCAGATCACCCTTTACCCATACATTGAGAACATGGGAGTGCCCACTGCATAGGGACCACCCAAGATCAAACCTGGCTCCCACCCTCTGCCGTTCCACCTCCATCATAATCGTCACTCAACGAGAGGTGGCACTTTCCCGATCGTTGCACATTACAGCGCAATTCGCCGTCTGCGTGGCATCACGGTGATAGAGGCATTGAGCGCGTGGTGTCACAAAGCTACTTAATCTGCTAGACTTGTGTGGTGTTTTGTATTAGGTTGACATTTTTTTGTCGTAGTGTTGTGTTCATATGAATGTTCATATGCTTGCGCTGAAGAGTGTTTTGAGATGCCTAAGGTGTTTCGATACTATTTAATGTATTTCCATAAATTAAAATAACAATTTTAAGCTTACATTACAATTTACATAACTCAATGTATTCACAATCAAATACTTAAAGTCACAATTGTACCTAACCGAGACCTCTCAGATTTTAGTAGCAACATTTTATTTTTATAATTATTATTATTTCCTGTACCTGGCTAAAATTACACTACTATGCTTACAGGTGATACGTGGTTTGTTTTCATTTTCTTCAGGTGACTGCATTTGTCGTGATGGCATCAAAAGATCCTGCATATGAGATCATTAGAACCAACAAAGTTAAACTGCAGCAATACCTCCAGGCGAAGTCTTCAGAAGTGCTTGACTATTCCTATCAAACAGAGATAGTCCTGGACAGTGAATACGCATCCCTTAAAAGCAAGACTGACCCCATTGTGCGAACACGGGACCTGGTTGACCTGGTGCTCGACAAGGGAGAAGATGTGTGCATAAGATTCCTTAAAGCCGTGCTGGTGCCGCTGAGATCCGAGATCCCACCCTTGAATCAGTGGATCTCACAGAATGAGCAGCAGCTCAACGTTATGGGTGTCGATCTGAGCAGAACTGCGGCTAAAGCCATCCCTGGAGCAGCTTCACGTGAGTGATGCTAAATTTCACATATCCATTTGCATGTCTCTTGCAAGTTTAAGCGAAGGAATTGCTTTGAACTGATATGAACTGTCATTTGATATTCGCAAACTGCACCACTCTTGCATAATAACATCCCACTCAGGAGGAGGACATTCATATTCCATTCCATCGCAGGGTATGTACAAAGGATCAGCAATTTGGAGGAAATGATGGATGGATAATGGAAATGTGTCAGTATCAAAACATTACATCCACACTGGACCCCAACATTCCTGAATTTCTGTCCTATCCTACACCTCCCTTTCCTTGCAAGAGACTTAAACATGGTGATTTTCTCTCACCTCTTCAGACACAGACATTTTATTTGAGCTGGAAGAATGTAATGAGCTATGAAGCTCTCTTTCAAGTGTCAAGCCCAAGATGGTTGGCCATGGCAGCAAACCCATCAGCTGCCATGGTCTCCATGACTTCGTATAATCTGGATTCCACCAAGGCCATGTCGCTGAAACTGTTCCTCTATGCAGGGTGATTGACCACCTCTCTTAAATTATGGAAGCTGCTTCTAGTTCTGGACTTTTGGGCTCCTTTGCATACCACACCACTCCATCCTCTTGAATCGGCATGGCTACGCAGGCATCTCTCACACACTTCCCCACTGCTTCTGCTTCACCCTCTAAAAGTGAGCCCTATTTTTTCCAAGCAATGACTGCCTTCCGTTCAGAAGCCCCAATTCTATGATGTTCCACATGGCTCCGTCCTTGGCTATCTGCTCTTCTCAGTACAATGTCTCCTCCTTTGTGGACATTTTTTATTCCTATTTTTTTATATTGACTAGCTATCACTGCTATGTCTAATGACACCCAGCCTTTTATTGCCATTGACTCATGAAACGGAACCTACTCTCTCCTCTTAACTCTTGAAAAAAAAATTGATACTCCTGTAATAACACACTTCGACGACAATCTGTCTATGTCATATTTATTTATTTCTCGCCGCTGGACAGCTCCGCGTTCTCCCACGCTATCACCGTCACTCCGCGTTGCACGGCGTGAGTTGGCATCCTCCGCGCACGCTCGCTTACTCTTCCCGCTCCCGCGCACCGCTGGCAGACGGCACACAGGGAGACCGCCTCCGGACCGCGTCACCAAGCCCCGCCTCTAGCCACGCCCCCTTGCGAACCTTCTAGATCAGGGGTCGGGAACCTTTTTGACTAAGAGAGCCATGAAAGCAAAAAATTTGGAAATTTATTTCAGTGAGAGCCATATAATATATTTTAAAAGTGAATTCAACTAAATGTCAGTATAATAAGCCTCTGAATTTATTCTTTTAAATAATGTTGTTATAACACTCACCATTAATGCGACTTCTGGTGCTGCATGGATTTGCTGATGTCTTTGTAGTCGGGTTGGTACTTGGTGAGGTTAAGCTTCATGCAAGCGTTGAGGCTTTCATCCGTTAAACGTGATCGTAGGTTGGACTTGATGTTTTTAAGATGTGAGAATGACTGCTCACATGCATACGTAGATCCAAACATGGTCAATACAGCAATACTCACACGCTGTAGTGTGTGGTATGTGACAGGAAGCGCGTTCCAAGTTTTGAGAATCAGCTGGTCTTCGGGTTGGAGTTTTTTCATTTCTGTCCACATGTGCTTGCTCGCCAACTCCGCTTTCTGTCGTGTGATTCTTTCCAAATCTTCATTCAGTGACTTGAACTTATTCACCCACATGTCTGAGGCCTTCAGGTCAGCCACTTCTGCTTCAAAATCTCTGACGGAGACACCAGGGATGTAATTCAGGTCGGCTGTGTTCAGTGAACACTCGTTTGGATGGGTGATGAACTTAAAAAGACGAGTGTGCTCACGAAATTCTCCAAAGCGTGCTTTGAAGGACTGTAGGAGACTGGATGTGCAGCCAGCTAGCTGGTGGAGATCAAGGTTTTGAATGGGCTCACTTGCTGTGCATGCATCTTTAAATTGGCTCAGTTTTTCAAAATGTAGTAAACGACCTGTTTCAAGATCCGTGATGAAAAGCTCCAGCTTGTTTTCAAAAGCAAATACAGCTTGTTGAAGGGATAACACTGTATTTCCAATGCCTTGCATTTTCACGTTGAGCTGGTTCAGATGTTCAGTCAGATCTACGAGATAGTAAAACTTGAGGAGCCACTCGGTGTCGGCTAGCTCAGGATGCCCGACGCCTTTCATTTCAAGGAAAGTCCGGATTTCGTTCAGGCAAGCCGCAAAACGGCTAAGCACCTTCCCTCTTGACAACCAACGCACATTGCTGTGCAAAAGCAGACCAGGATAGTTATTTACAACTTCATCCAGCAGTGTTTTAAACTGGCGATCATTTAAGGCTCGGGCAACAATAAAGTTGATCACACGAATGACCAGCGACATCACTTCGCCAAACTGCCTGTCACACATCTGAGCACAAAGTGCCTCCTGGTGTATAATGCAATGGAAACTTAGGATGGGTCTATTTTCATGTTCACGGAGAAGCGCCACAAATCCTTTGTTTTTCCCCACCATACACGGAGCACCATCAGTACACACTGAGAGAAGTTTATCCATAGGTAGACTTTTTTCTTGAGCAAACTCCATGAAAGACTTGAATAAATCCTCACCTCTTGTGGACCCTTTTAATGGCAGAACAGCAAGACTTTCTTCGCGCAGTGTGTCACCAACAGCATATCTTGCAATCACGCTGAACTGCGACAAATGGCTCACGTCTGTTGACTCATCCAAAGCCAGAGAAAAGAACGGCGCTGCATTTATGTCCTTCACTTGCGTTTCCTCCACTTTGTTTGCCATCACGATGGTACGATCATGAACAGTTCTTGCCGACAGAGGCATGTCTTGTATCCGTTTGATTATCTTGTCTTTGTTCGGAAGATCATCAAAAAGTTAATTGGCTACATCCAGCATGAACGTTTTAGCATACTCGCCATCTGTGAATGGTTTTCCGTTCCTCACTATTGCTAAAGAACCAGCAAAGCTAGCCGAATTATAGTCACCTTGCCGGGTCCATACGCGGAGTTGCTGCTGGCTAGCTTGCACCCTGCTCAGAAGCTCTTGGCACGCTTTCTTTCTGCTGTCTCCCGCAGGGTATTTTGATGCAAAGGTAGCGTGGCGCGTGTCGAAGTGCCGCTTTACATTCGACCGTTTCAACGATGTAATTTTGTCATTGCAAATTAGACACACCGCAGAACCCGCTCTCTCCACAAAGGCGAATTCTTCGGTCCATTCGTCCTGAAATGTACGATACTCGTCGTCTTTTTTTCTTTTCGCCATCTTCTTCGTCGAAGGGTTAGCTTTGAGCTAATGACCGAGCAGACGCAGTCTCAGACTGATTCAAAAGGGGGCGTTTACCTGTTTTACCCAGCAACGGCAAACGTAGGCCAGTATCATCCAATTAAAATAATGGACAATTGCTCCTGCAGCCCTGAACAGGACATGCGCAGTGAAAAATCGATGAATGGATTAAAACAAGTGAGAATATTTTGTTTTATCTGCGAGCCATATGCAATCATCAAAAGAGCCACATCTGGCTCGCGAGCCATAGGTTCCCGACCCCTGTTCTAGATAGTACCCCACTAGCACCCTCGGGCTCTGCCCTTGAACTCTGGCCCACATAATCCCTTTCACCCGATTGGCTTAGAGGCTGAAGCGGCGAAGCCTATCCCACCGATCGGCGACCGTCAGTGTACAATCGCATTATACTCCTACTGATACTCCTGCTGTTATGGAGTGACTCATGTAGCCAGCTATGGCTGCAAAGTTTGGTAGTACATGTTATGTATATCGTTTATTGTTAAATTTCAATCAGTTTCTACGATCAGTGTTACATTGCTTTTATTGTTTTATTTTGGTGATTTCGAAAACGTTTCGGTTTAGCCATATTTGTTTGTTGTAGTACAGCGTTAGACTGATAACTTTAATCTAAATTGTCTTATGGTTGTTATTGTTTGACTTGCATCCCACTAGGATGTTTGCACACAGCATTGATATACGGTGCTTTTTCTGGAAGACTTTGCTGTTTTTTCCTGGATTTTTCTGTTTGCGCGTAGTCACTTTAAGATGTTTCTTGTTCCTGTCTTTGTTGCGGTTGCACCCACTTCAAGAGCCAAATGGCTCACAGGGCTATACCAAATAAATGAAACTGAAACTGGATTGGTTATAATTCACTCCAGATTAAACGTCAAATTTGTAGCCCTCGTCATTTTGGAAAAAAAAGTCCATGGGAGATAATGACTCCGAGTATATGATTCCCGAGAGATTAAAATAACATCAGATACAGAGGGATCACGCTACCCATGGTCACCATTGCCCAAGTGGTGAGCCACTGGGTTCAATGTTTCCTTGGAAAGCTGATGGAAGTTATTGAGCAAATTTGTCATTGTAAATAGACACTCTCCACAATGTAGTGGCTGCCACAGTGTTTGCTGATGATGCAGTAGCCATATTAGTTGAAGTTCAAGTGAACCTACGATGCATCACGTGGGATGCTACGAGTTCTGTAATTCATGGTGGCTGTTGTTGTGGAGGTGAAAGCACTTCATCTTCTCTGCTGTTAGGACCGTGGCTGGTGTACTGCACTCCACCAGAGTGTAGTCCCATTGCTACATGATGTAGGCCAGCTTGAGATGGAAGAGGAAACACAGCCCCAATACCAGTGAAATATAAAAAGTAAAATTCAACATCCTAAACAACAAAAAGCTATAATTGTAGGACAAGGCCGCAGTGAATTTTACATACAGATTGATAGAATTAGGTTGTGATGATGCTGATGTACACGGGAATGCTAAATGTGGTGGTACTATCTTGTTTCACATGCAAAACACACAAGACAAGTGGTGGTAACATTTTAGTTAAGATGATTTTTTTTTACAAAGGTACAGTGTTTATAAAAATTGCATATGTACAATACACATCGTGAAAGCTTCCACACAATAATCCGTGATGTACATGATGTTGCTGCATTATCCATGGTGAACGAATACGCTACGCTTTTTTAATGTAGTTTCTTTTAAAATATTTGTCTGCTATAGGAATGTTTGTTTTAGTGTAAGTAAAACTAATTTGGTCGTTTAATTATTTGTTTTATTTAGATAAGCCTGGTGATGATTACAGAGAATTCTTGTTGAAGCTGACGTCATTGACACAAGACTACGATGCACGACCTGGAGAACCTGCAGTGTTTTTGCTGGAGAGGATGGTGAACCCAATTCTGGTTCCCTATTACAGCCAGCAAGAAACCAATGAGCACGAATTACTAGCGAGAGGAAAACAGCACGAGGAAATGATAGAGAGAGCACAGAGAGAAGGGATGACTTACAAGAAGCTCTTTGATCCCGTTGAATCCATTGGGGGAAAAAAACACCCCCGACTGGTTATTGTAGTGGGGACTCCAGGCAGCGGTAAAACCATGTTAAGCAAATTTATTGTGCACAGCCTGCTGTCAGGTGAGAGAGTGTTTGCACAATGCTTTGATCACATTGTGCTCATAACGTTCAGGGAGATAAATGATGTTGTAGAGGTGTCACTGGCAGAGCTGTTTTCTGTGCTGCACTCATGTTTGGGAAACAAAGCAGATGAGGTTTTCGCAAACCAAAAGAGAACCCTTTTTGTTATGGATGGGTTGGACGAGTTTGGAAAGTGCCTTCACTATGCCAATGCTTGCACTGATCCACGTAAGACGGCAACAGTAGAAGCTATCATTGCTGCCCTAGTGAATGGAAACCTCTTACCCAATGCCACGGTCTTGATAACGACCAGACCCATTGCAATGGAGCAGCTGAGGAAAGTGAATGTTGATCGAGCTGTTGAAATCATTGGGTTTTCCAACGAAGATAAAATAGCATTCTTTAACACATTTTACCAAGATAGGAGTCTAGCAGAAAGGGCACTCAAGCTCCTGCAGGAAAATGAAACAGTGAATACATTGTCCCAGAACCCTTCATTCTGCCATATAGCAGCCATTACACTGAAGGAACATTTACAAAAGTCTGATCATTCTGAGATTATCCTCAAATCAATGACCGACCTCTTCACACAATACGTGTTTGGGCTAATAGAACACCATGGACGTGGCAGCCACGGAACCAAGGAAACCTTATCATCTCTTGCCAATATGGCTCTGAAGGGGGTTCAGCAAAACATCCAGATGTTCAGCCAAAAAGATCTAGAAGAGTGTTTTGTTAGCTCTTCTGAACTCGGAAGTACATTCATCAACAAAGTGTTCACATGCGAGGGCATTAAACAAGGGAGTTGCTATTCATTTTCACACTTGACAATGCAGGAATTCTTTGCAGCGATAGCCGTGCATCTGTCACATTCAACACGGCCAGTAAGTGACGTCATCAAGGCTATTGAGGACAGCAAAGATGGGAGGTTTGATGTGTTTCAGAGGTTTTTTTGTGGACTAGCATCAAGCACTCCATGGAACTTCTTTGAGGGTATCTTGGATCCTCCATCTGCAGATTCTCAAAAGGAAATAATCGAGTGGCTCAATCGCAGCATGAAGACTCAGATGGTTGACAAACACAGGCTCATCAGTCTCCTGCACTGTGTGCACGAGCTGCAAGACCGCAAATCCCTCAATGATGCCACTCGGTCCATGACTAAGATAGACCTGTCATGCACAAAGCTGTCCCTGCCAGACTGCGCTGCCCTCTCCTGGATCTTGATGCAGCGAGAAGAACCTGTGACGACACTCAACCTGTGGGGCTGCGGCATCGGCACCGAGGAAATGAAGAGACTCCAGCGTGGACTGCACAGATGTAAAGAGCTAGTGTAAGACTGACACACCTCGCATTCACTACTTCACAAATTGTGCACGCATATGTATGTGTGGGTGTGTGTGATATGAACTCGTCTTCAAATGAGTAGCAGGTGCGTTGTGTAAAATATTGCTACTCGGGAGACAACAGCGGCCGGGCACGATGCTGGTCACCGACGCCATCATATGCCATACTCATGTAAACACTCGGTCTTGCGTAGCCCATGCATGAATACAACTTGTGACGAAATTATTCCCCTTGCCACTGCCATCATTGTCCTCACTCCTCACTTCACTCCTCTCCCCGCACTCCACGCTCACCCATTTCCTTATACCTCCCATTAACCCCCCCAATTTGCTCCTGCCTTCACTTATCCCATAACCCCACCCGTCCCTTGCCCATCTCTTCACTCTGCCCCCATACTCACGCCCACTCATCCATAGAGGGATAATGTTTGGTGAGTGAATGCGTGCCTGCTTGAGTTGGTGGGTGACTTGGGGGATGGATCGATGAGTGAGTATGTTGAGTTAGGTGAGGATGTGAGTGAGTAGGTGGGTCAGTGCTGTGTGAGTGGTTTGGTAAATGAGATAATTAATGTGAGTGGGTGAGTAAATGTATACTGAGTAGGTGGGTCCACAGTGAATGCTGCACTCACTGTACATTAAAGTACAGAAGGAAGAAAAGTTATGCATATGGGTGGCTGCTGTAACGCTTTCCATCATCTTCAGCAACATTTAATTCGCAATAATTATAGCCCTCACACTAGGCGCAGGAAGTGAGGTGACCGTAGGCCACATTTAGAAAATGGAGCCCTGATAGCGACTCTGCGGTGGAGAGTGAGGGTAACGGTTTGATTCACGTGGCCGATTCAAGTCCCTTGTTTACAGTGGACCATGGTCAGTTATGGTTGCCCCCACTACAGAGACAGCTGATATGTAATGGGTGTCATTCTTAGTTGTAAAGCATTAAAGAGACAGATATCCCCCAAGTACCCCATACAAACTGTTGGGGAAAGTGAAGCCCGTGACAGAGAACAAGCACACACAACTACACTGCACTTTAGAGCACAAAGACAATCTCCCCGTGGAGCCTGCATACACTTTTGAGGCAAGTGCTGATCACACTTCCCTGACTAGCACCGTCCTTGGCTGTCTTTCTCTCCCCATTGCTGATGTTTACACACCATACCAGGTACTCATTTAAGGCTCAGGCACCATAGAGGACTTCCAGGACCAGATTTTTTTTTATCACTCACCACTGATGCTGTTACCAGATATTGAACCCAGGTCACTTAGTAATGGAATGGTGCCAAGGACTTCCCCACAATTTCCATAACCACATTCAAATACGCAATTAAAGACACTCGTATATACACACACAGACATGTACACAGTGTACATATAAACTCACACACTCCTACACATGTACAAGTAAAGCCTTTGGTCACTCCACTGCTGGATAAAGCACTCCCACACCATGCAGGTCTTGGGGGTTATTTGACCATACATCACCACTCAAGTCAGTGTGGGTTGGTGTAGAGCATAGATGAATGTTGTTCCATTACCATAACGCAGCTCCGCAGGCTACAATAACTGTTGTTATGCATGTTAGTCATGGGTAGAAGCACCATCCAGGCTCGATACTTTATAGATTTTCAGATTTATTAGATCTTACATGTACACTAATATACACACTTTCATATATGAATACACACACTCACATGTACATAAACACTAATATCCATATACACGTATATTTGCACATTGCTACACACTCACACACACACTTATACACACCCCTGTTTGAGTCTGCAGTTTTAATGTGACAGTATTTTTTTACGTTAAAATAAATGCAAGCAATCTTCATATAATAAGGATTAGCATTCATAAGGCTCAATTCGTCCAGTGATCTGATTGCGCCATAGACAAAATTAGTTAATATACGCATGTATGTGCAGGCAGTCCCAGGTTTATAGAAATCCGAATTTACGGAAATGCAACCATAAATAATGTAAAAAAAACTCAACGTGTGGAAATGTTAGTGTTAGTTACATAAGTGTAACTAGTGCAGCGCGTTGAGGTTGCATATTAATACTGCGGAGCGAGGCCTAAGCCCCGCCTCAACCAAAATGTCGCCTTCACCGAGCCCGAGCTTCACGAGGATTAAGGTATTTTTTATTGTATTATATAATTACTTTCCTTTTGTAGCATTACGTATTTGCTTGTTTTCTATGCTGAGAACTATATATTCCCATGTTTCTATTGCTGGTTTTCATTTTAAGTTCATTTCTTGAGTTATTTACTTTAATTACTGTGTGTGTGTATGTAGGTGTGTAGACGAGGTAAAACAACCCCCTACCTCCGCGTGGTGCCGGACGGGCAACGCTGTCATGGACAGTGCTGTGGGGGGGAGGGCCAATTCCGATTGGCCTTTCCTCTCTTGGTGTCAGTGACCACCACAGCGGCTAAATGGGGGGGCTGGACAGGTGTGAGGGGCTGGTAACCCCTCCACCTTCATTTAACTACCACGAAACTACGACCGAAATTTTTTACGAACAAGCTTGTGCCGGAGTCCCCGGGGGGACAGGCGTCTATGACGTCTCCTGGCCAAACCCCATTTGGCGGAGCCAGGAGATTGAATCTTTACCCTCGGGGCTCCTCCAGAAACAAAAAATGCCACTATGGATGGCCACATGGAATGTTCGAATGCTCACTGCTAAGGAGAGGCTGCCACTCCTTTGTCGGGAGCTGGACCAGTACTGCCTGGATCTCTGTGGTATTCAGGAGGTCCGGTGAACCGGCTCTGGTTTCTGCCACCATGAGGGGTGGGCAGTCCTATACTCGGGGCAGGAGACTGCCAACCAACAGAGAGTGGCTCTTCTTCCGGACAAAAGAATTAAGGGGGCGTGGGAGCGTGGTGGTGAGGGGTGGGATGCTGTAAGCCCCAGGCTATTTTGGGCTCGCCTTCCCATCAACCGGAGGCGAGGAGTGGTGGTCGTGGTTACTTATGCCCCCACTGAAGACGAACATCCGTGGAGGGATGCAGGCAAGGCTGATGAGTCAGATGCCTTCTATGACCTCCTGTCACAGGTGCTAGCTAAGTGACCCCTTGGGATGGAGTCATCTTGTTAGGTGACTTTAATGCCCGAGTTGGTCATGATGCTGGCACCTGGTCTGGAGCAATTGGAAGGCATGGGCCAGATCAGCTCAATAACAACGGTAGGAGGCTGCTAGATTTTTGTAAAGCCCATGGGCTTGTAATTACCAACACGCTGTTCCGGTATCGGCGCATCCATACAACATCATGGATGCATGCCGAGTCCAAGCAAGAACATCTGCTGGACTACGTAGTGACAGAACAGTGGATGCGGACCCATGTCCTTGACACCAGGACCTACCGTGGAGCTGATCTACCCTCTGACCATCGACTAGTCATCTGTACAATGCGCCTTCCATTATTCCACTCCGGTGGTGGGTGTACACCCAGGACCCCATTCCAATCTAAGGTGGCCTGGTCTCAGCTAGCTGATGAAAGTTGCATCGCTTGTGGCAGGGGTTGGCATCGTCCCCCATTCCTGCAGATGTCGAGGGTAAATAGGTGAGATTTAGGACTGTGACTCAGGCAGCTGCAATGGCTGCTTTGGATACATGGTCCAGACCTCCCCAGAGACCCTGGCTGACAGAGGAGGTGTTCAAGCTGGCTGAGAAAAAGCCACAGGCCCACTCTCATTGGCTACAGCATCCCACGTCGGAGAATGAGGAGGCTTACCGCAGCCTTCGCTCGGAGGTTCGGAGAGCTGTGAGGCGCTGCAAGGATGGGTGGTGGTCGCGGGTTGCTGAGGAGAAGTAATCTGCCTCAATGGCCCATGATCACAAATCCATATTTAATTCCATCAAAAAAGTAACCTGCAGCGCCACACTTATTACCAACATTAGGGGAAAAAACAGTGATCCAATCTCCGACCACCAGGAACAGGTTTTCAGATTTGCTGAGCATTTCTGTGAAGTCCTGGGGGAGGGGAAATCCCTCCACATGGAAAACATCGTGGGACAAAGTGGGGATGACCCTGTTGAGGCTGCGGTGCCTCAAATATTGGAAGAGGAAGTCACCCCCTGTCAGTGGCTGTCTGAGGTGCCATCTGTTGAGGAAGTACTGAAGGCGATCCAGAGTCCGAGACAAGGAAAGGCACCGGGCAGAGATGATCTCCCAAGCAAAATGCTGAGGGAGGGTGGCGTTTGTGCACAGACTGCCCTACATGACATCATAACAACAGTCTGGACCACTGGACGGGTTCCCCAGGACTGGAAGGATGCCCTGGTGGTCCCCATCTTTAAGAAGGGAGACCGCACAGACTGTAACAACTACAGGGGCATCTCACTCCTCAGTGTACCAGGAAAGGTCCTGGCAAGGATTATTCAGGAACGGGCGGTCCTACACAGATGCCATATTTTCTGTCCGTCTGCTACAGCAGAGGTGTAGGGAATTCCAACAAGACCTACATCTCTGCTTTATTGACCTGGTCAAGGCCCATGATACCATCAGTAGGCCTGGGATCTGGGTTGTTCTTTGTGCTTTCGGAGTCCCTGACACGCTGCTCACGATCATTAAGGACCTTCATGATGGTGAGCGGGCCCGGGTATAACTACGTGGCCGGGAGTCGGAAACCATTCCCTGTTAACATTGGGGTGTGACAGGGATGTCCTCTGGCTCCAACATTATTTAACATCTATTTCGACCACGTAATTCGTGAAGCCTTCAGTAGTTGTACCGGAGGAATTTCCATCTGGTACAGATACAATGGGAGGCTGATCGATGCCCGGGTGCGGTCAAAGGATGGCTCCCTATTGGTCAACCACGTTGTGTATGCCGATGACCTGGTCATTTCGGCTCACTCAGAGGAGGAGTTGGAGGCGCTGCTGCTGAAACTGTGTGCCATTTAGAGGTCGGGCCTTACCATCAGCCCCACCAAAACGAAGCACCTGCCTGGGTATTTTGTACCATCGGGCACTCCACCCCCACAACTCCCAATCGGTTATGGGGCAGTTGTGGAGAGAGTCGAGAGATTCCCATACCTGGGCAGTGTGCTCATGACCGGCTCCGGTTTAACAGCAGAGGTCTCACTCTGAATCAGTCGAGCGGCATTATCTTTTCATTGGTTGCGTAATGCTGTGTGGAAGCTACCTGGTCTGTCGCTCCGCAAGAAGCTTCAGGTCTTCTCGGCCACAGTCATTACCTCCCTTCTCTATGCTTGTGAAATGTGGACCCCCCTAATGAAACATTTTCGCCGGTTAGAAACATTTAGGCTGGCCTGCCTATGATCAATCTTGGGTTTAACCAGGCTGGATTGTGTGAGGAGCTCACAAATCCCTGAAAGATCTGGACAAAGTCCAATCGGTGAGCTCCTCCAGCAGGCAAGGCTGAGTTGGCTGGGCCATGTAGCCCGCATGTCCAATCACCGCATGCCCAAACAGCTTAGGTTTGGCCGGATCAAGGGGGCTAAATGGGGGTGGCACGGGCTAGAGAAGAGATGGAGTGATGTGGTACAGGAGGATGTGCAGCTGAGTGGACTTGCCGATGACTGGTACCAGTGGTGTCAAGATCGGCCTCTGTGGAGGAGGCTCGTGAAGGATGCTACTGGGCAGTTGGAGGCAGTCGCCCACCAACAACAACGGAGGGTGGAGGAGCGACGCTCACAACAACGAGCAGAGCGCCGGGTGGCTAAACCACAGCAAGTTGGCACTGTAGGGGGCACAGGTGGTGCATCAGCCAGTCATCTGAGTCAGTCGACCCGGTGCACCTGGGTCTGCCCCGTGACCTGCCAGCGGGCGTTCGACACTTCACGTGGCCTCAAGGTGCACATAGTCTGGAACAAGCGTCGTGGTGACGTCACCACCACTTAGTGGCGAATGGCGGTTGTTGTTGTAGACGACGAGCGGTAGTGTCGTGATTAGCGCTACGCTGCGCTATGAACCCGGTGTCCCGAGTTCGATTCCTGCTCACGGCCAACACCAGTGACGATTATCTGAACAGGACTTGGACTTCCCCTAGGTCGATTCAGCCTCAAATGAGCACCTGGTGCGATGTGTAAACATCACCACTGGGTAGACAAAGACGGTCGGGCGTGTTGCAGGCCACTCACCTCGTGTGCCGTTCCGGCCTTCATAGGTATTTACTAACAGCACTTTCCACTACAGTCTGTTAAGGCTATAAGGGGGATCTTTGTATTTTTTTGGAGACGAGGTCTTGCAAAACAATACCCTTATAAACACAAACACGTTTCAGATTATAAAGGTACAGTGCAGTATAAATGAATGGATAATTGTGAGTAAACTGATATTTGTTAATGCCACAAATATCATATGCTTCTGTGTTATATATGAAACAATGAGCAGCTTTGCTCATGAACGTTTGTGCTGTGATCACGTGCACCGCCATTGTGAGTGTCCCTCACTCAACGCGTGTTTGACTCCGCGGTTCCCGTGGGCTCAGTGAGTCAGCGCTGTCCCTTCTCCCGTCCACCCGGGTTTAGGCTGAGTGAGAACGAGATCAGAGACAGCGGACTCCGACTTTTAGCAGACGGGATGTTGGAGAGAGAAGGGAGTTTGGAGACGTTAGAGTGAGTAATGTCCTGATGCACACACACTTATATAAGTACTGTACAACTATACAAATATATATACATACAGACACAAAACACAAAGATACTCAGTATAGCATAATAATGTTGTATTTTAACGTCGTTTATAACTACATTTTTATGCACTCATCAATTAAGTTATTAGCCACACTTTTTACAGCACTTTTAACCACTATTAAATAACACTACAAATAAATCTTGACTTAAAGCTTTCGTGACTGCAGGAATTCATACTCTTTAGGTCTTTTGGTCAAGGCACGTAGATAGAAAATAATATTTTATTATTTTTATATCTACGTGACTTTACCGAAAGACCCAAAGAATAACAATACAATTACCATTGTCACATTACCTACTATAACTAATGATATTATTTTAAACTATGTCATGTTAATACAGTAGATCGTCGATTATCCAGCGGCTTGGGAGGGAAGGGGTTACTGAATTTTGAAAAACAGATAATCGCATAATTATTTAAAATAGCTTGTTTTTGCACAATCTTGAATAAGATTATGTTTTTAGGTGGTCTGTATATATATTGACTGTTTTAAATAGTTTACAATATAAAAATCGCTTAACTAAATATACAAAGACATAATAAATATCTTGCTGTATACTGACTATTTACTGTACCGCACTCACCACTCCAATCTCGAAGACTCTGCATGGGGTGATGTGCGTACTACGCTCTTGTTCAACAACTTGTGTTAGACATCGACTTGTGTTTGACAACAACAACTTGTGTTTGACAACAACAACTTGTGTTTGACAACAACAACTTGTGTTTGACAACAACAACTTGTGTTTGACAAGAACTTGTGTTTGACAACAACAACTTGTGTTTGACAACAACAACTTGTGTTTGACAACAACAACTTGTGTTTGACAAGAACTTGTGTTTGACAACAACAACTTGTGTTTGACAACAACAACTTGTGTTTGACAACAACAACTTGTGTTTGACAACAACAACTTGTGTTTGACAAGAACTTGTGTTTGACAACAACAACTTGTGTTTGACAACAACAACAACTTGTGTTTGACGACAACTTGTGTTTGACAACAACAACTTGTGTTTGACAACAACAACTTGTGTTTGACAACTTGTGTTTGACAACTTGTGTTTGACAACAACTTGTGTTAGACAACAGCAACTTGTGTTTGACAACAACAACTTATGTTTGACAACAACAACTTGTGTTTGACAATCGTCGGACTGATGCAGCCTTCAGATCGGTGCTCTGGCAAACGCCGAATTGCACGGAATTTTTGCCGGATTGCACTGCATATTTACTATTTCTATGACTAGTTATTAGTCATGAAAAATGTATATACGTGCAGTATTGTAATTGTTTAAGTTGTTGTATGTAGTGTATAATGTAATGTAAATATAATTTGACGAGGAAATTGGAGGATGTTCAGAGGAAATTAGGAATGAGAGGATATGGGAAGAGTTGTAGTGGAAATGCCGATATGCAGGCCAGGTGCTAAGTTACCTTGTGCTCAGACAGTTGTCACTGGGGGATTCCTTTCAATTACATTGTGATGAGATGTTCAATGAAATGCTTTCAGATGTGACCGCTTATAGGATGATGCAATATCGAAAATAAATCATGATTATTTGATCTATATATACATACACAGAGATTCTACAGATAGCCTTTAGCAGACTTTTGGTCATATACTGTTAGGGAACACCTAATGAAGACCAGAACGGCACATGAGGGGTTGGGAGGCCAGCACCACACTCAGACAACTAATGTTTACTTACTACACCAGGTACTAATTAAGGCTGAGTCGACCTAGGTGAGGCCCACGGCCGTTTTAGATATTTATCAATGAAGTTATCCGTGAGCAGCAATCGAACCAGGTTTGTGGCTCACTGTGCTAACCACTGCACCACTACTTACCTCGTGCATGCACACATACATGCATACACTAAGACACACATGTACAAAGATGCATAGAGATGGACAAATGTTAATGCACACGTAGTAGACATTCACACACATCACATTAAACCCAAAAACAAAAACCTAAACAGCAGTTGCTATTTGCAAGCTCCTATTAAAGTTGCCACGAGGTTCATTTGTGCACAATCTCCACAAGCACGACCCTCAACCACTGTCCCATCAACCACCACCTCCCCTCACCACCCCTCACCATCTCCCACTCTCTGCCCAGACCCTCCACCCATCCTCTCTGCCCCCACTAATCGTCTCTTCTCTCCCTGTAGGCTGTATCGGTGCTTACTGATGGACAAGTCGGGTTCCTCTCTCAGTGTCATCCTCAAGGCCAACAAAGGTTTGAAGAATCTCGGGTAAGCTCTGCTGTTCGTTTCTCACTTGTGCTCTGTACACGAACTGTGCTAATTGTTGGTGCAACGCTTCGTGAAGTAAACATTGAAATGTAAACCCAGCAATCTTGCTGTCTCTACATGGCAAGGCTGAGCAATATCTTTGTGTACGCCCAAATCACGCAGAATGCACCAAACTGAATCAGAATTGAGCCTGGATAGAGCCTGGATGGGAGGCCACCATGCATTAGTAGGTGCTATGGGTTACAGGAAAACTTTGTGGGCAGTAGAGGGCAGGGAAGAAAAATCTAGAGACATCTCACATTTCCTACACTTAATAACCATAACATTCTTATAATATATTTAAACATTTACGGGAGGCTGGTTTCACAAAAATGCCTGCTTAATCGAGTTCATTTTATAAATATTTTACTGTAACCTCAACACATTTGTTAAATTTAACACGTAGGCTAAACCAATATTCATATTCACAACATATTGTTAGCAGATACATTGATTGTAAACATCTCCCTGTGTTCCTCGATTAAAATGTACTACACTTGTGTGTGATCCTCTGTTGCAACTTGTGTTTATATAAACGCAAACACTTTTCATATTATAAAGGTACAGTGCAGTATAATTGAATGGATGATTGTGAGTAAACTGATATTTGTGAATGTCACCTGTTATATATATAAAATGTATAACACAGAAGCATTAAACAATGAGCAGCTTTGCTTCATGAACGTGTGTGCTCTGGTCATGTTCACTGCACCATTGTGAGTGTCCCTCACTCACCGCGTGTTTGACTCCGCGGTTCCCGTGGGCTCAGTGAGTCAGCGCTGTCCCTTCTCCCGTCCACTCGGGTTTAGGCTGACTCTCAACGATATCGGAGACAGCGGCCTCCGACTTTTAGCGGACGGGATATTGGAGAGAGAAGGGAGTTTGGAGACGTTAGAGTGAGTAATGTCCTGATGCACACACACTTATATAAGTACACCTAAACAAATATATACAAAACACAAAGATGGCATAATATTGTTGTATTTTAATGTCTGTTATAACTTAATTTTTATGCACTCATCAATTAAGTTATTAAACACACTTATTGCAGAACTTTTAACCACTATTAAATAACAATACAATTACAAATGTCACATTACCTACTCTAACCTATGATATTGTTTGAAACTATATTATGGTAATACAGTAGATAAATTAAATTATCCAGTGGCTTTGGAGGGAAGGGGTTACTGGGTTTTCAAAAACACCAGATAATCGCGTCATTATTTAAAATAGCTTATTTTTGCACATTCTTCAATAAGATCATGTTTATAGGTGCTCTGTATATATAATATTTTAAATAGTTAACGATATGATAATCGCTTAAATAAATATACAAATAAACTAAATAAATATCCTGTAAAACATGACAGTATTTTACTGTACCGCACTCACCATTCCAAAATCGAAGACTCTGCATGGGGTGATGTGTGTACTACGCTCTTGTTCAACAACTTGTGTTTAACGACAACTTGTGTTTGACAACAACTTGTGTTTGACAACAACTTGTGTTTGACAACAACTTGTGTTAGACAACAACAACTTGTGTTAGACAACAACAACTTGTGTTTGACAATAACAACTTATGTTTGACAACAACTTGTGTTTGACAACAACTTGTGTTTGACAACAACAACTTGTGTTTGACAACAACTTGTGTTAGACAACAACAACTTGTGTTAGACAACAACAACTTGTGTTTGACAATAACAACTTATGTTTGACAACAACAACTTGTGTTTGACAACAACTTGTGTTTGACAACAACAACTTGTGTTTGTTTGACAACAACTTCTGTTTGACAAAAGCTTGTGTTACACAACAACTTGTGTTTGACAACAACTTGTGTTTGACAACTTGTGTTTGACAACAACAACTTCTGTTTGACACCAACAACTTGTGTTTTTGTTTGACACTCGTCAGACTGATGCAGGCGTCAGTTCGGTGCTCTCGCGAACCCCGAATTGCTATGCAATTTTCGCCGGATCGCGCTGTATATTTACTTTTCTATTACTGCAGTTATTAGTCATGAAAAATGTATATAAGTGCAATATTTTTATTGTTTAATTTGTTGCATGTACAGTAAAACCTTGGATTGCGAGTAACTTGGTCTGCGAGTGTTTTGCAAGACGAGCAAACATTTTAAATAAGTATTAATTTGATAAACGAGCAAGGTCTTGCAATATGAGCAGTATGTACAGTATACGCTTTGTCTGCTGAGCGTCACGTGATCACAACTGAGCCAATGGTTCTTCTCGCTCTCTCGCCGCGGGATTGTAGGTAATCGTCTCCCATGCTCGGTCTCAGTCGGCGTGCCTCACTCGTACAGTCAACATCCGTGCGAGTGTATACAGTACTCTTTACTATAGTGTTGTGACCACGTGTGTGTGGGGGGGATGCTGCCCTCCGTCTCCCCGCTCCCTGGGGATCCGAGGCTCTCCTCTTCGTTACTCGGGGGAGGGTTACTTCCCTCCGGCTCTCCTACCCTCACCTCTGCTGCTCGAGGCATGGTCCGCGGCTGGCGCTTAGCCACCGGGGTCAGTCCACACACATTCTAAGTACCCAGGCACCAAGAAACCCGACACCGCTACCTGCCCGGCGCCGCACACCAATCGCACGCGCGGGACTCGGGGTCAGAGGGCAGGGGCGTCCCCCGCGTGCGCGCGCACAGCCAATTGGAGGAGGTACCCCGGAGCCGATTTAAAGGCCGTGTAAACAACCGCGCGTGCGCGCAAACACAGGGCACTCCACCAAACAGTTGGGTGTAAATACAGTGCACCCCAGCGATCCGACTCACGAACACCCCACCCCACCCTCCTCTTCGCACTCATAGAGACCACACGACACGGTTTATCCTCTGCTGACGATTTATTCCCTGCGAATAAACAAACTAAACTACGCGTGTCAGTGTGGGTCAGCAGGGCAGGTATAGCCTATCCCCCGGTGGTCTGGGACTCAGTATCTCTTGCCTCTCGCTCCACTTACTCTCCCCTAGTTATCAAGCCCAAACTCACCTCTCTCTTACGTACTTGCGGCTCTACTCTGATGTGCAGGAAGCCGTGGAAGGGCGATGCTGCACGTAGCCTTCGTGGGGAACGGGGCCTGGCTGTGTTGGGACTCGTCTCACGGACGATCCAATGGCTGGCGCAATCACTCCTCCGATCTTGACCCCTTGAAGAACACGACTGCCCTCACTCCCTGGTTCTCACCCCCTTTTATTGTCCTCACATCAAAGGCAACGCGCTGCCCGCTCCCCTGGTCTCCCATCCAATCAGGTCCCCCGGATTTCCCGCTCTTTTGATAATCGGATTCGTGCTCTCTCCGACGTCCGCTTTTTGCCCCTTTGAACAAGCGCACACGTCCTACACGGAGAGGAGGGCCCCATATCTTCCCTGCCGCTCGTTACTCTGCCCCACCCTCGACCTGCCTGCTGACCCGTGTTGAGTGTGGATGTTTTCTATCCACGGTGGCTCAGCAGCCCCTGTCGTGACCATGTAATTACAATCCAGGTCACGGCGCCGCGGTGCACGTTAGCCTCGGGGTAGGTCGCCCAATTCCCTGGTCGCAGGAAACCGTGAAGCTTGATCCCATGAGGGGCTTCTGGGTGAAAACCTGCCGGCCAGGTGACCTCCCCTCGGGGCTCTACGTGGGGGGTATGCGTGTGTTCAGGTGGGGGTTGGTGAGGGACGAGCAGGGTCGGCCCCGTCGCTCGGAGGTGGCGGCGTCGCGGCCACTGGGTCCGCAGAACGGCTTTGCTGCTGCGGCATCCCAGTGGCGGGCTCGGCCTCGGCAGAGCGGCTTCGCGGCCGTGGCACCACATGTGTGCGTAAAGCATTTTTTTATTTTGTGTCCAAGTGTAGTGACTGTTCTTTAGTAACTGTACTGCAATAATGGCCCCAATGAAATCCTCAAAAGGAGGCAAAAGCAAGTGTCATTGGATAGGTTCCTTGTTAAAGTCGCACAATAAGGAAAATATTCTAGTGAGCCAACAAATAGCAGTGATTCCGTTAGTGACAGTGAAAGTCGTCGTACACAATAACCCTCCTCCTCCTCTCCTCTCTCTCGTCTCCCTCACACCAGCCACGATTAAATTTAATGAATACATTTGATTACTTTATATTAAATTTAAATAAAAATATGTAAAGGTACAGTATTTTGTATTCATCATGTTTATATGAATATTTTTGGGTTGTGGAACGAATTATCTGAGTTTCCATTATTTTTTGTGGGGAATTTCGCTATAAAATAGAGTGCTTTGGATTACAAGCACGTTTCCGGAACGAATTATGCTCACAATCCAAGGTTTTACTGTAGTGTATGATGTACTGTATATATTATTTGACGCGGAAATGGGAGGAAGTTCTGAGGAAATTACGAATGAGAGGATATGGGAAGATTTGTAGTGGAAATGCCGATATGCAGGCCAGGTGCAAAGTTACCTTGTGCTCAGACAGTTGTCACTGGGGGTTTCCTTTCAATTACATTGTGTTGAAATGTTAAATGAAACGCTTTCAAATGTGACCGCTTATAGGATGATGCAATATCGAAGAGAAATCATGATTATTTGATCTATATATACATGCACAGAGATTCTACAGAGAGCTTTTAGCAGACTTTTGGCCATATACTGTTCGGGAACACCTAATGAAGGCCAGAACGGCACATGAGGGGTTGGGAGGCCAGCACCACACTCAGCCAACTGATGTTTACTTACTACACCAGGTAGTAATTAAGGTCGAGTCGACCTAGGTGAGGTCCATGGCCGTTTTAGATATTCATCAATGAAGTTAGCCGTGAGCGGCAATCGAACCAGGTTTGTGGCGCAGTGTGCTAACCACTGCACCACTACTTCCCACGTGCATGCACACAAATATGCAGATGTAGGGGTGTTGCGGGAAGGGAACACACAGTCACATCATGGTGGCTACAACAACGTCCGCTATAGCCCCGCCCCTCAGTGGTGTATGGGTATAAAGGGCGGGGAGCTAGAGAGTTTGGGGCAGTGTGTTGGAGCCAAGAGTGAAGAACCAGTGAAGAAGGAAGGCCGGCTAGATAGACCCTGGGACTCCCCTGACCGCTGTCCTTTTGAGGGCCGGCAGGGTAAGCCAGTGGTGCGGCCCCAGAGCCTCAGAGCCGGAGCCCTTTTAAGGGTCGGTCTGGTTGGTGGGGTGCCGTGACCTGTGCCATGACCAGGGCCAGGTCAGATAGCCTCCTCTAGCGCCTGTAGCGGAGGAACTGGGAGCACAGGAATTAGGCTAGATAGCCTAGGGGGTGTCCCAGCGTGTATACGGGTGAAGGGGCCATTACCCCTTCCAGTGTAACCCTTGCCAAGCTTGAATAAACAGTGCTGCCTCTACTCCACCATTTCCGTGTCCCGTGAACCCACTACACATACACTAAGATACACAAGTACAAACACGCATAGAGATTGACAAACGCAAATATACACAAAGTAAACATTTACACATCACATTCAACCCAAAAACCTACACTGCAATTGCTATTTGCAAGCTCCTATTAAAGTTGACATGAGGTTCATTTGTGCACAATCTCAACAAACACGACCCTCAACCACTGTCCCATCAACCACCACCACCCCTCACCACCCCTCACCATCTCCCACTCTCTGCCCAGACCCTCCACCTATCCCCTCTACCCCCACCAACAGTCTCTTCTCTCCCTGCAGCCTGCGTCGCTGTCCACTGACAGACAAGTCGGGTTCCTCTCTCAGTGTCATCCTCAACACAGGTTTGAAGATTCTCAGGTAAGCTCTGCTGTTCGTTTCTCACATGTGCTCTGTGCCCTAACTGTGCTAATTGTTGGTGCAACGCATCGTGAAGAAAACATTTAAATGTCAATACAGCAATCTTGCTGTCTCTACATGGCAAGGCTGAGCAATATCTTTGTCTACGCCAAAATCATGCAGAATGCACCAAACTGAATCAGAATTCAGCCTGGATAGAGCCTGTATGAGAGTCCACCATGAACTGTAGGCAGTAGAGGGCAGGGAAGCAAAATATAGAGACATCTCAAATTTAATTACCATAAATGATTATTTCATGACGGACAAGTCGGGTTCCTCTCTCAGTGTCATCCTCAAGGCCAACACAGGTTTGAAGATTCTCAGGTAAGCTCTGCTGTTCGTTTCTCACTTGCGCTCTGTGCACTAACTGCTAATTATTGGTGCAACGCGTTGTGAAGTAAACATTTGAATGTGAACACATTTAATCTTGCTGTCCTGCTTAATCGAGTCCACTTTAAAAATGTTTTACTGTAATCTTAACACATTTGTTTAGTTTATCACATAGGTTAAAGCAATATTCATATTCACAACATTGTTAGCAGATACATTAATTGTAAACATCTCCCTGTGTTCTGCGATGAAAATGTACTTCACTTGTGTGTGATCCTCTGTTGCAACTTTGTGTTTATATAAATGCAAACATTTTTCATATTATAAAGGCACAGTGCAGTATAATTGAATGGATGATTGTGAGTAAACTGATATTTGTGAATGTCACCTATTATATATAAAATGCCTAACACAGAAGCATTAAACAATCAGCATCTTTGCTGTGTGTGCTCTGGTCACGTGCACCGCCATTGTGAGTGTCCCTCACTCACCGCGTGTTTGACTCCGCGGTTCCCGTGGGCTCAGTGAGTCAGCGCTGTCCCTTCTCCCGTCCACCTGGGTTTAGGCTGAGTTACAACAAGATCGGAGACAGCGGACTCCAGCGTATAGCGGACGGGATGTTTAGGAGAGAAGGGAGTTTGGAGACGTTATTGTGAGTAATGTCCTGATGCACACATATTTATATAAGTACACCTAAACAAATATATATACACACACATATACAGACACAAAACACAGTATTACTACTATAATAGCCCAGAAATGTGCGTAACGCGCGTGACGTCACTCCACGTGCCGCACACCCCCCCCCCCCCCCGTCATTAATAATAAAATGATCATGAGCGGGTGGATTTTTACACTCACGCAGGTCGAGCGGAATTTTTTTTTAACGCAGATTCGCTTTAAATTTGACGTTTCTTTATTGAAAGTTAACCAAATAAATAACTCTTCGCAGACGTTTCTTTACAGAAAGTGACGGGGGGGGGGGAGCTCCATGTGGAGTGACGTCATCCGCTCATGATTATTGAGGGAGTAGGGGCGGGGTCCACATGAGTGACGTCATCCACTCATGATTATTGATGGTGGGGAGCTCCATGTAGAATGACGTCATCCGCTCTTGATTATTAATGAGGGAGTGGGGGGCGTGGTCCACATGAGTGACATCATCACCTCATGATTATTGATGAGGGGGGAAGCTCCATGTGGAGTGACGTCATCCGCTCATGATTATTGATGAGGGAGTTGCATCGTGCGCGTGACGTCACTCCACATGCCCCGTCATTTAGAAGGTCGAGCGGAAATATATATTTTTCGCAAATTCACTTTAAATTAGACGTTTCTTTATTGAAAGTGAATTTTATGATAAATTATACGCAGCTCAAAGTGGATTTGGGGTCTTTATTTTTTTCTTCAGCACTTGAAACAAAAGGTAAGTCTAATTTATGCTTCTACATTTTGGTTAAATAGACATTTCTCGGTGATTTTCCAGATATTGTACTGCAATCCAATTTATTGGAACCCCAGCAACCGAAAGCAAAAGAGAGCAGTGAATTAAAACAAATTTAAGGTCAGTTATATACAGTGCTACAGTGAAATGCAGTGAAGTGTTACTGGTAGGAACCTCTGGTTACACCAGCCAACAGGGGATTATTGTTTCCGTCTGTCCGTCGTGCATCCAAAAATGGGAGGGGTGGGGCTGGGTGGAGAGGGGAGGGTGGTGAGGGGCTGAGTGGGGCTGGGCTGGGCGGGGAGGGTGGGGCTGGGCGGGGAGGGTGGGGCTGGGCGGGGAGGGTGGGGCTGGGCGGGGAGGGTGGGGCTGGGCGGGGAGGGTGGGGCTGGGCGGGGAGGGTGGGGCTGGGCGGGGAGGGTGGGGCTGGGCGGGGAGGGTGGGGCTGGGCGGGGAGGGTGGGGCTGGGCGGGGAGGGTGGGGCTGGGCGGGGAGGGTGGGGCTGGGCGGGGAGGGTGGGGCTGGGCGGGGAGGGTGGGGCTGGGCGGGGAGGGTGGGGCTGGGCGGGGAGGGTGGGGCTGGGCGGGGAGGGTGGGGCTGGGCGGGGAGGGTGGGGCTGGGCGGGGAGGGTGGGGCTGGGCGGGGAGGGTGGGGCTGGGCGGGGAGGGTGGGGCTGGGCGGGGAGGGTGGGGCTGGGCGGGGAGGGTGGGGCTGGGCGGGGAGGGTGGGGCTGGGCGGGGAGGGTGGGGCTGGGCGGGGAGGGTGGGGCTGGGCGGGGAGGGTGGGGCTGGGCGGGGAGGGTGGGGCTGGGCGGGGAGGGTGGGGCTGGGCGGGGAGGGTGGGGCGAGAGACGTGTTTCACCCAGAGCTCCTGGCCTTACCTCTAAAACTTTATTTTTCTCACCTTTTTTCGGGATGTAATTTCACCAACAGTGTCTCGCTTTATACACAATTTGTGATCAGATTGTTTGTTTGTTTGTTTAGACTTCCTTCGTCCTTCTTTCTTTGTTCTTTTCTGTTTTCACTGTTCAGGGCGCGGCTGCACTCTCTGCAGTGTACAGGTGTCTTTGTTATCCGCACAATCCTCCTTTTATTTAATAGTTGATTTCATACTCACGCTTTTCTTTGTTTTTATTTCGATTTTGAGTTCCTTTGTTCCTCAAGCAATTTTAGAATTTTGTGGTTTTTCGTGTTTTTTTCCGTTCCTTTGTCTCGTGTGCTTCCACGTGTTACACACACCACGTGTTGGCACTGTACCACACCGGCCGGTTTGAATGCAGTGCTAACATCCCCTTTAGACCCCTCTTGTTTTGTGCTACGAGCGTGTTTACATTTATTTTTATTGGTGTGCTTAAGTAATTTTACCCTCTCCAGGGGAGCTTTGGGTGGACAGCAGTAATAGTAATTAAGAGAAGGTGGTCATAACACAGGTTTGACCATCTTTATATACATTTTTTTCGTTTCTTGTTGTTATTTTGTTAATTTTTTTCTTGGCTTTAGAAAATAGAGAGGTTTGCTTTAGTAGTCGTGTGTGACATCTCACACGAGTGAAGATGTCCACCCGACCCGCAACAACATACGTGAAAGCTACCGCGCCTACGCAAGGCCGGTCTCTGGGGCCTGCAAAGCGCCCACAGCAGCCGCAGCTGAAGCCTCCACGCGAGGCTGGGATCCGCTGCCCGGCTTCCACCGATGTCCCGCTCGAAGTCTACATGGAAGCGCTGGGCGCCATCGTCCCTGGAGGCTCGATAAAGTATGCCTCCAAGGTGAGCGGAAGGATGGTTTTCTTCATGGAGTCCGAAAAGGTGGCAAATGCCGCCATGGAGAAAGGGGCTGACGGTTGACAATTGGCACCTCACCTTAGAGCCACTGTCATCGCCATCAGTACGTGTAATCGTATCCAACGCCCCCCCCCCCCCCCCTACATTCCCGATAAAGACATCCAAGATAAGCTGGCTAAGTTGGGCACGCTGACTTCCAACCTACAACGTGTGCCTTTGGGCCTCAAAAATCCTGCCTCGTGGCATGTCTTGTCTTTTAGAAGACAGGTCTACATGCTGGTGCCCAATGGGCAGCTTGAGGAGGGCTCCTTTGTGGTCATGCATGGAGGAAGGGCCCATAGGCTGTTTTACTGCAGGGACGTGCTAAAATGCAACCTATGCAAAGCAGAGGGGTATATTAAAAACACTGCCCAAAGACAGCAAATGCCCAATCCAACAGTGAGGCAACGGTGGAAAATGGTGCTAAAGAAGCACACCCAACAAGTGACTCAGGAGAGGGTCCCTCACCACGGAGATCACCCGAGATGGCGGTAGACCCCACTCCAACACCAGCTACTTCCGTGGAGACTGAGGCTCAGCCAGCCACCCAGCCATTATTGACAGCCGGACCTCTGAAGAGGAAATTTATGGAGGATTCAGCTTCGTTGTCTCCAGAGTCAAGTGGGGATGAGGTCAGTCCCTTTAAACATCTCCCAGGGTTGGAGTCTGACATCGCACCAACGCCTGGGGGAGATGCGGAGAGCACTGGTGGCAAGGACGGGGTCTTCACCATCCCATATGCCCCTAGAGGTGGGACACGCACAGGGAAGAAGCCCCGTGCAGGAACCAAGCTCAAGCGCAGGACGCCTGAAGAAAATCTGGAGCCTGAAATAGAAGCGGGGGAAAACGCAATCTGTGCAGTGACGGAGGAAACAAGTGAAGAGGGCCACACTTCAGACCTCGACGACGCGCCCAGTGAGGCGGCCGAGGGCTGCCAGGAAACGCGAGCGGCCAAGAGCACGGAGGAGCCCAAACAGGACCCAACTGCCCAAACTACGCGGGGTGACCAGGACGAGGACGATGGAGGGCCATCAGTGGAGGGGCAAGTGGCATCACCCAATATATGCATCGACGAAGGATACCACGACGACTGAAAATCCTCAAAGCCTGGGGGCTCAGGGGGGAAGCCAAGAAGAGGAATTTGAAGAAACCCTCAGCACAGAGAGTTCAGTGAACCTGACATCTGCTGAGCTGACTGAAGGGGCACCAATATTCTCACAGTCAGAGCTGTGGACCTTTTTAGATGAAGTCCATGGCTCAGAAGAACGAGTGACTGCAGCTCTGTCAAGGTGGCGAAATGTGGAGGCAATTATAGCCTCCCTATTCCCTGTTGAACAGGACTTCAAGAGACAGGGAAAGTCGTCATCTGGGAAGGAAAGGAAGAGGATCAGGTATTTCCTGAGCCAAATAACTACGTGGATAGAAAACACCTGGCGACAACTCCACTGACACTTAATACTGCGGATAGCTGCAATTAATATAAATGGGTGTAGAGGTCCACTCAAGAGACACTTTGTGCATTCTCTCGCAAAAGAACACAAAGCATCGGTGCTCTTTGTGCAGGAGACGCATCTTACAACCAGCGAGGATGATAAATGGGAAACAGAATGGAAAGGTGATTTGTTTTTCAGTCACCTTACTCATTATTCTTCAGGAGTTGCAACGTTATTTGCACCAGGGTTTACACCCACTATAGTTAACCAGGTTGAGGTGGTACCGGGAAGAGCCCTCGACATAACGATCAAACTTGATGACATTTCTGTCCACCTCATAAACATCTATACCCCCATCAATTATGCAGAAAAACTTAATTTTTTCAATGAGTTACAGGACCATCTCAAAAACATCCCGAATGACGAGTGTGATTTTGGGAGGAGATTTCAACTGTACACTCGATGTCCTCGACCGCACTGGCACCGAGCTGTGTAAAAGCGGTGTCCTGAATACCTTGCGGCATGTGCTCTGCACGTGCAGTCTTGTAGATGTGTGGCAGACGCAACATCCAAACCAGCGAGGTTTCACCTTTACGAGAACCTGAGCTGACAGAACACTGTCACATCTCAAAAGACCTTGAAAATAGTAAAGTGTCGTGCAGTATTCAGGCGGCACCACTGGCCGATCATCGCCTAATACTACTTGAAATGAAAATACGAGGGGTCCCAAGGGGATCGGCATACTGGCATTTCAATAATGCCCTTTTGCAAGACACCACCTTCACTGGTCTTTTTGGGGTCTTCTGGGTACAGTGGCAGAGAAATAAAGATCGGTTTAATAGCTTAGCACAATGGTGGGACATAGGGAAAGTACACATCAAAAAACTGTGTCAGTTGTACGCCTGGGGAAACACAACAAATATTGACCGATAAATTTGTGAGCAGGAGAACAG